AAGGTCACAAATGTGCATTTATAAAGTGTTTGGGTCAATAATAAGGAAGAAATCGTCGGTGAAAGAGCGTGAACACTCAAAAAACGCATAAAATGTGCCGAAAATGTCTAATATTTCTAGATTTATAGCTAGTTTGTGAACATTTTATCACATTTTTCTAAAATACAATTTTGCCCCTAATGCAGGGTGACTAAAAAATGGCAATTTGAAGTTATCCTTCTCTTCCTACTTCTAATATGGCAGTTTTAGAGAAAAACTGTTTTATTGCTATTCCGAACACACGCCACTTGTGTTTGGGTCACTCTGTATAGTAGTTTTTTGAACGAAAACCTTTCTTAGCATTCAGATAATTTTTTTCCGACCTTTTTCCACGTTGGAACAATTTTTGTAAATCCATGCAAAGTTTTCGCAGGCTTTTCTTCTTTTTTCATCATAATATTAACTTATTCTTTACCTTTACCGTCTTTACTAGTAAGAAAGTAACATTTTATGATTTTCGTGCGAAGCAATAGATTCATTTATTATTAAAGTCGGTCGTTCTTCTGAACATCAAATACAGAGACGACATTAAACGCTTATAACGAAAAACGCAGTTTAATTGAAACTGTAGAAAATAAAAATTTAGGAAAATATATTGAATGAAAATTGAACATTCAACATAATGAGTAAAGAATTTGATGATATAAATGAATCAACATTTGGAAACAACAAATAAACTGAGTCAAAGACTTTCTCCAGTAGATTTATGCTGAAAGTGTGAATAATAGAAAATGTCCCAGTAAAAGAGGGAGGAAAGATGGAAGATTACAAAAAGACAAAACTGGTGAAAATAAATCGAGCAACTGAAAGCTCAAACGTGCAGAGTGCTTGTAAATCTCAAAACACCAATATGCAAAAGATAATATAAAACAGTTATGAAATATATTGTGAATAGACATTTGAATACGAGCAAAAACAACGTAAAATTCCCCAAAAAAACTGATGATTAAATGAATCTAAATTTGAAACAACAAATGAACTGAGTCAAAGACATTGTGCAATAAATTGCCTGATGAAAGTGCGGAAAATGGAAACCGTTGCAGTAAAAGATGGAAGAATAGCAAAAGGTAAAAATAGATGAAAGAAAACGAGTTACATAAAGCAACTGATTGATCAACCGTCCATAATGCTTCTCAATCTCAAAACACTAATCTCCAAAAAAATATGTGATAAATTGTAATTCTAACGATTGTTTTATACAATGGACACCGACCAGCATTACTAATAGCGCTTAGTGGCGAACTGCCCGACGCATTATTATGTTCACAAAATGAGTATATACTAAGCTACCTCATTTATCCGCCTTTATTTCGCCATCACTTTATTCAGCTGAAGACTTAAAGACTGAGAATCTGCTTAAGTCTTTTTTTGCGACAAATAAAGAGACAAACCATAATTGTCTCGCGGGACAATTGCAGCACTAACTCAAGGCGCAAAGATGGTTGATAACGGTCCAATATTGAAGCTGTGCCCGTCCACGTTGCCAACTGTGCGAGTGTCTCTTCAATATCATCAACTTTTGCATTAAATTTTCCCGAATTTTGGATGGGAAAAGAACACTAGAGGCTTGAAGAATTGTAATCTATCGAAAACGATTTGCTAACGCTTGAGCAAGAGCTCTGATGTCACTAGACTCGTGCACGGGAAACGTTTGGAACTAGTTATTTTTGACTTAGAAATATACTATTTGGATATTTGAATTTTGGTATACTTCTTAAGACACATCAACAAGAAAATGAAAAAGCAAAGAAACTCAGAGAAGTGAATGGAGAAATCGAAGAACAGCGGCAACGTAGTCTGGTAGTGGACTTAAGCCATATATCTTAATTTGCTTGTGTTATTCAAATGAGTTGTCTCCAAAGTGTGCCAAGCCGCATCCGAATGGGTTTGCATGTGTTTGAGCGCCGCGATTGCATCGAGCTCTCGTAGACGACTGCAGGGACAAATCGATTCAAATTCCTGTATCTCATTTAAACAGTTTCAATGCCGATTTGCTAAGTAGACCAGCAGCGATCGTTCTTCAATTAAATTGAATTAAATCATACAAAATGAGTTGAGCGCAAAGCGCAATTAATCTGAGCTAAGCTTCATTATTGCCCGGAATTGGTTTGGTTCATTGTGGGAGTACTGCTCGCTTCCTTCAGTTGTATGTTCCAATAGAGGAAGGTATATTTTGTCATCGGTCAAGCGGATTTCTTGCTATTTCTGCTGTTTTTAATCGGCGGGTTTTAGTGGGAGATTCATGTTTTTTTCGTGGAAGTTCTTCTAGAGTCCCATTTTAGTATTCCCTGGTTTCAACGTTTTTTCGTTATTAGCAACTTACGAGTGTAAACCGGTGTCCTCATGTTCGGGTGTCTAATTTCCTTCTGAGAAGTGCAAGTGGCAATCTAAAGTTGTGCTTCAATTTTGACAATTTTTGCCCTTAAACAGGCTGTTAAAATTAAATTGACTGTGATTTTTTAAAAATCAATTATGAACTCGATGATTTAGAATTGCCAATTTGCTCAATTTCTTCAGGGTGCCCATCAACAATTTCAAATTAGATGCATAAACGTGGTGGCCAAAGTTCAGTCAACATTGGTTATTGACTCAAAAACAGTTGAAACTCATTATAGAACGTCTATACTCATTATAGAACGATAGCATATATCTAATAGACCTAGTATTGTGCGAATAGTTCGAATATGCAATAAAAAGTACGGCATTCCATTTAATAAAAGGTAAGTTTGGTCTGCCACTTGAATTTGAGACACCCTGTATCAACTGGTATTATTTTAAAATAAACTAGATGTTGATGAGTTCTATATTGCTGAGGCGGATTCATTTTTTTACAAACATCTTTTTGGGTATTTCGCCTCAAAAATGTTTGTCTTTAAAAAAGACAGAATTTCCTCACGTCTTTTATTACAGATTGATAAATAGTGCTCCTATT